CTTTCAAATGACCTCAAATGACCTCAAATGCCCCAATTTTATTATGAATTTTAGTCCGAAATGATCTAGGTCATTTGAAAAAAAGGCAAATGACCTCTAATTTTACCATCCCTGGCATTAGCCATAGTTCTGGTCAATTTTTATCGGGATTTTGATCCAGAACCGTCAGTATGGGTGTCGCGAAATAGCTGTCAGTGAAATTGTTTTATACCGTATTATAGTGTATAAATTTTTAATATTTGTAAGAAAAGTGATATGTTGTAAAATCCAAATATTGGTTAATAATTGATTTATAAATTGCTACAGTTCTTTGTTTATAATATTGTAGTTAAAACTTTTATACAGTATCGGATTTTGGGTTTGAATCTCATTTGTCTATTGTTGATACATATAAACGAAAAAAAAACTGTTATGTAATATAAAGATTTGTAAATTGCTTTTAGTATTATAGTGGTAATGAGAAATAAGAATGCGATAAGTTTTTGTTTGATGACCCGTTTTCCGAAATCATCAAGATTTTTCCAACATGCCCTAATTGAATCGACTAAGTCAATTTTCTAAAAAATTGGCTGACTCAGTTGACTAAGTCGATTTTATCTGCGACTAAAACCACATTCAATTAATGGTTCGCCTGGATATAGCACATAGTAGGTCCATTATCAATGATAATACGTCCATTTACGGTAGTTAAAGCCCTTTTATGTTTCGAACTAACGCACCGTAATAATGTTACATTATTTTGCAAACTATATACTGAATAAATTTTTATATGATACATAATAATAAAAATAATTCGTAAGATACGCCACACAATCAAGTACGTACGTATTCCTTTATATAGGGTCTTTGCAGTAGAAAAGGCCTAAATGCTCTATATATTATATATAGCATTTAGGCCTTTCTACTGCAAAGCCCCTATATCACTACCGTAATGTCATCAAATTAGGTCATTTGGCATATGATTCTATTGAAGACCCAAAAAAGACCTCAATAGGACTAGGTTTTTATGGATTTTATGAATTCATATATTCAAAATCAGTTTAAACAGAAAAATGTAATTAAAACCGAGTTTTCTAAAAAAATCGGTGACCAAAATATATTTAGAATAATCATGATGCTTTTGACGATCTAATCATGATTTCTAAGAATAAAATTGAATACGAAAAGATGACAATTTAGATATATAATGGACAAAAGCTTAAGAATTTCAAATCAACAAAAATGAACGAAAAATTTCAATCCATGATTTCAATCATTAAACCAATTAACTCTGACGACAATCCTATGGATCAAAATCAAGCGATTAACAATGCGCAGAAATTAATTCAACTTCCATTCCCACCCATGATCAATCCTTGTGATTTAATCGTTTTGCGTCCAGATGGACATGTTCCTAGAACTCCCAACGCCTTTATAATTTATCGAAAATTATTCGTTAAGACCGCATCTGTTTACAAACATAATTTACCAATGAGCATTATTTCTTCTATAGCATCTAAATCATGGGAACAAGAACCGGATGATGTTAAAGAAGAATATAGGAGAATTGCAAAGGAGGCTTTTAATTATCGTAATAAATTATTTCCCGGACTTAAGAATGTAAGCAAGAGAAATCGATGGAGAACTATTTTATTTAATAAGCCTTATACTCGCAAGATTAGGATGCCTAAATCTAGGAAGTCCGTTAATAAACCAAAACATCACAAATCACCAATTATATCTCCCATTTCGAAACTCAATAGTTTAAACGAAGTTAGTTCGCCAAACCTTAATTTGTCTGTAAATTGGACTAATCAAGACATACCAATACTTTCAAATCCCAATTTATCAATGATTTCTAGTGATAACGATAACAATTTGCATAACGATAAAGATCTTGAAAGTCATCCGGAAATTTCCTCTTCTGTACAAAACTTTAGTCTAGTTTATTTGTATA